TCTCTTCTCTGAAGGTACGGTAGCTTCGAAATTTACAAGTATCACATGTGAGCCGCGTCTGAACACAGCTGCTATAGCTGACCCCTCCTCCCTTAGCTAGCTCGTGCTTTTGCTTTGGAAACGAACGGATGGACAGCTTCTTCTTTGTTTCAGAGTTGCTCGTCAGATAAGAGAGAGAGAGAGAGAGAGAGAGATTCCTTCAGTCATCAGCATGCATGACAAGGAGTTGAATGCATTCATGATACAGATATTTTGAGGGCAGAATTGATCTGGGGTTTTTAACTATTTGGTCCTTCTTAAAAACATATTTTATAAATTGTCCCTCCTTATAGATCGTTCCGAAAATGTACTCGAAACTCGGTGTCGGCCTTCAGCGTCTCGGTGCGATTGTCATTGGCGCTGGCCTCCTGCAATGCATACTCCCTTCTCGGATGTCGGGTTTTATCCCGATCATAAACACCATCCAATAAAATGAAAGCAAATCACATAGGATGACGAAAGGGGTACATTACATGGTCAATCCTACAAAAAAAAATCCATTGCCAAATTAACAGGATTTGGAGGGAGGGATGTTGCAGCTTGCAGGGGAGAGGAATTCTTAGAGGTAGGGTTTCAAACTGATCTCAAACATCATCCAATACAATGGAAACATATCACATTGGATGAAATATGGAAGAAATAAATATATCTTTACTTGTTTATAGGGATAAATTAAGACAAATTACATAGGATTCCATGGTGCACAACACCAAGAATCGGGTATATACCCTGACTATGGAAATTTTTGAAACTATTTTGGGTATGAAGCTTAGTTGTTTACTAACTAGTTCAAACAAATTTGAACCTACTATCTATATGCCCTTTTTTCCTCTTTTTTTATTATAGGTATGTGCTATGTAAACATATAATTATCAAACTATGTGATATGAGATAGTGAAATATCAATAAATTTGAGTTATTATTGCAAGGTATGTGTCGATGAGTGATACTCGTGGACCGGATGAGTTGAGTATTGGGGTACGTTGGAACGAGGGTCTATATAGTACGACATCAAGCAGACAAAAGACATGTTTATACTGGTTCAGACCCCTTGTCAGGTAATAGCCCTAGTCCAGTTTATATGGGATTGATAGTGATGAGAACATATTACAAAGAAAGTAGATGAAACAGACGGTACCGACGAGATCGTAGTCGATGAGTTCGACGAGATCTTCCAGCGATTTGGCTCCGCGTACTCCGGTTTCGCAAACTATGGTGGGTGTGTTGGTGATGAAATTCGATGCCTTGCACCCCTCTCTGGGGGACCCTTTTATACCGTGGATCATCTTGACCCCAAGAAAGATCTGAGAATATTTGATCCGATACGGTATAACCGAAATTATATCCCTTCCGAGTAGGACTTTGGAAATCGCCTGACTCGTAGAGATATTTTCCATAATTTTGGATGGATTCCTAACGGTGTACATGGAAACGATCCGTGTACGCGAAGGTATACCTTATCGGTATATTCCATAAGTCGTAGGATAGAAGGTATACCTTATCCGTAACCCTGACAGTATGAGTATCAATTGAATTTTTATACATAGCTATATCTAGTAGCTAAAGGTTTCAAAATTTTGAGCTGAATCGTGTATTTCAAACCCTAAGGCCTAGGCACCATATGAGGCCCCAATTTATCGTCTAGTAAATTAAATAATATATATTATAAATCAAACAAATAGATTATGACAAGTGGTCTAAACAATGTAAGTAGGAGAATATTTTTTGAGAAATTGTATTTTAAAGCGTGGAGTAAATAATCCGACGAATAATTTGTTTAGAACATGCCAAATCAACCGAAGGTAGGGACTTCCGTCCTTTCTCAGTCCTTGGAGGTTGGCTGTCGCCAATTAATAACCCCTTACCACATCGGTGTCCAACCGTCCACCGTTCACCATGGCATTGGTGCCACTGCATCATGAGTGTCAAAGGTCTCGGTGCGAAAATCCCTGTTGTGCTGAGCTACGAGATCTATCTTTATAAAAGTTTTTATCATGTTTACTTCCTCTATTTCAAAATGTAATATTTTTGTTTTATCCTAAGTCAAATTTCTTTAAATTTAACGAAGCTTATAAAAAAATGTAGTATCATTTTTAACATTAAATTAATATAATATAAAAATATATTTAATAGTAGATTTAATGAAATTAATTTTGAGTTGTACATGTATAAACATGGTCTAACTGGAAGAAGCTTGGTTTATGATAAACCAAAACATATTAGGTTTTTTACAGAGGGAATATTTGTAAGATGAGTTTTAAAAGGGGCTAAATTGTAGGAAAGAACCAGCAGAACTGATTGGTTTCTGGTCAGCACAAAGGCGCCACTCCTAAAGTGCAGAGGCAACTGGGAAGATATTTTTGTCTAGTATCCTAACAGACCAAATGATATGCTTAAATAGTTCTGGGAGATATTTTTAGATATTTATGATTAGAGATTCTATGTACAAGCTGCATTAGAAGGGATCCTACTCATCCCAGGGACAAGAAATCATATCTGCACAATTCTTTATCTGTTTATCATGCTATCTGTAGTACAATAAGTCTATACTATAGTCATTAGTACAGCGTCACGTTTCAGAGCGTACGCATCCCTGAATTCCTTGATTCAGGTTTGGTTTCTTCTGATTTAATTTCAAACCATAATTCAGACACAGTCGTGGCACAGTCATCAGGTGAATCGATCCTCCCAAAGCAAAACTTCTCTGTGTCCACATCCTTTGCAAATTGCAGTCGATCAGCTGGCTGATGAACTATACAATGCTGAGATTGAGATAATCAAAACATGCAGCATCAAAGAAGATCTCATACAGGCGAAATTCTCTCCAATTTTGGAGCAAGCTGTGTCTGCAACTCTGCATTGACTGAAGAAAAAAAAACACAAGCCGTTTTAATTTGTAGAGTATTCGGCAGCGAGGCAGGCGTGGCTCTGGGTTTGCGTCTTTGCGTGATGGTTGCAATGGGAGAGAGAATAAGAGATCCTCTTGGGCACTAATGGTGGTGGATTAATGGCAAAAAACAGCTTGGGTTAAATTTGACCGCGATAAACAAATGTTCAGGCGTTCCATGATCTTGATATGATAAATATGAGATTTTATTCCTCCCACCGACCTGCACGCAGGTTCGCCCAAAAAAAAACAAGTTTATCATGACTTCGTGAGGCGTTTGCATTTTGCAGTTTGATGAAGTTATTAAGAGAGATAGCTTGTTGTATGTTGCTTAGAACTTGGAAGTGATTTGCACTAATCTAATTGCATTCAGGTTTGCTCGCACTGTCCATCCACATGGGCTGTATTTTTCGAGAGGATGCAAATTACGGCCTTTTAAATTTCAGGGCTGGGCTAGGAAGTTAGGAGAGGGAGATGGGCCGTCACTACAAAAGCCGTTGAGGAGAGGTGGCCCATCCAGTAAGTTCCATCCGAAAGTCCCTTTTAATCACGTGAAGTGGGGTCACTGTTACTACACTACTGATGATTTGTAATACTACTATTTTTGGAAGTGTCTTGAGAAGCTTAATATTGTAAGAGCAAGTTTAATAATATAGCCCACTACTAGCTTCAATTCATCTATAGCCAATTCATACAATAGTTGCTTACTATACTATTAATATATAGTCCCACCTATCATATACACACTGTGTCTTGGAGTCCGTGTTGTAGCTGGCTACAGATCTGTAGCCCGCTGCTTCTCTCTCATATCTTATCTCATTAAAATATGTTTATAGATGGCTAATAATCTGCTATTGTATCTGCTCTAAGAAGTATCAAGATGATAGTCAGTCTTCGAGAATTTGGAGAAGGTGTGAAATCCAATTTCTAAATGTTTAGTTTATTTTTTTATATTCTATAGGTTATAGAATCTGAATGGAAAACTAAATTACTTCTCTGAAAAAAAAAGAAAAAGAAAAACTAAAGTACTGTTTGAAGGATATTTTAATTCTGTGAGAAATTATAGGTGTCAAAAGCTGTTCAAACAAACTCATGGACAGTTTGGTTTCTGTAAAATTTCTAAATCAGACTTTTTAAGACGCTAGGAATCGAAGCATGGCCTGGGATTCGAACAGTGACAGTAAGCTGTAACGTGTAAGGTAGATTTTTTTCACTTACACAAACCTGGACTGCAGTCCACTAGTCCAACGAGTCAATCACACCCTGAGAGCGAATTCTGGCCACTAGCTCGATGAGGCCGATACTTCTCTCCAAGTCCATCTTCCCACAGCCACAAATTATCATGTCACAATTTCTCCATTTTGTTGTACGAACTTAACTAAGATTAGTCCAGGTAACAAAATATCTAGATCTCTTATAGTAGCATTAGGCCATGTTTGGACGATATTCTGTCAGCTAACATTTTTTAAAATCTCTAAACAATCTAGTTTCTCGTTTAGATTATAAAAAAATTTAGTTGCAAGGTTTTTCAAAAAGTAAAAAAATAAAATCTCATCTGTTGAATTCTCATCGGCTATTTATCAGAATCTAAAAACTCCCTAAAAAACCCTAACTATCATAGTAAACCAAATTTGGATAATTTAGTGGGGAACCGGGAACAAAAGCTTACACCCTCATCTTTTCGCTTATACTTATCAGCCAAAATTTAAGTTTATACTTAATTTTGATATTTTTTTTATCGAAGTTTATTTTTCAGCCTTTTACTTTTAGATCACTAAGAGCACATATATATAAAAGTGTTATTTAAAAATTATTTTTCGTTTACAAACTGCTTGAGAATGCCTTATTCAAGCCATGCATTCTAAGGTGACTGACATGTGGGGCCAACAAGATATGCTCCAATGCTCCATGCAAAGCTCTCTCCCGCACTCCCAGCCACTTGGATATTTCGACACTGACAGGTGGGCCAAATCCCACGTGTCAACCTGTTCTGATCCCACACGTTTGAATTATCTCCCCACGATAATTCTAAAAATGAAAATAAAAAACACACGCAGAGAAGAAATAGTGTGAGCCGCATTAATTTTTTCGAATCCAAGAAAAAAAAAAGAAAGCAAAAATGGCCACCGGTAGCCTTGGCCTCTCCACCTCCTTCCTCCCCGGCCACGACACCCTCCTCCGCCGCCGCCGGCGGCGGCCGCCGGCGACGACGGCGGCGTCGTTCCGCCCGGTGACGGCGGAGCTCGGCGGGGAGCTGGGGCGGCAGCTGGTGGAGGCGGTCGGGGTGGGGCTCCCCTGCACGGTGATGGCGTGCGGCGACGTCATCTACCGCAGCACGCTCCCCCGCAACGACGGGCTCACCATCACCGCCCCCGGCGTGGCGCTCGCCCTCGCCGCCGCGTCCTACCTCTGGTCCACCCCCGGCGTCGCGCCGGGCTTCTTCGACATGTTCGTGCTCGCCTTCGCCGAGCGCGTCTTCCGCCCCACCTTCCGCAAGGTGAGCGCGGGCACTCGCGACGCCCTAACTCTTCCGCGCTTCTTCGATTGGGGGGATGATTTGGTTGCTTTTTGGCAGGATGAATTCGTGCTCGGGAAGAAGCTTGGGGAGGGCGCGTTCGGAGTCGTCTACAAGGCGTCGCTGGATGACCCCAAAGCTGCGGAGAAGGTAAACAGTAATGTGCATCACTGCATCTGCGTGTAAAAGCTTCAGATATGTAGAATTTTGTGTTGCTGATGCATGGCTGCTGCTTGCCTTAGTGGAGGGAATGAAGTAACCCCGGGTAATTGAAGTTGGTCATGAAGAAAGTGAAAATGTATTTGTGAGTTCATGTTGATAGTATGTAGAAGGGGTTGCACTTGAACAAATATTTTGGTGGCTGTGAATTTGTGATAAGTTAATCAGCCGCATAGTTTGTTTTTATAAGTAACTCAAAGTATTAGGTGTGTACCTAAAACCCCGTGAAAGTTTTCTAAACAAGCTTTTGAAGATCAATAACACAGTATATTTTTATGAGTTAGATAGTTGCTAGGCCATGCATACTAATGATCATACCTTGTTTGTCTCTTGAAGCAAGGTGCTGTGGTTGTGAAGAAGGCAACAGAGTATGGTGCGGTAGAAATATGGATGAACGAGCGTGTCAGGAGGGCCTGTGCTAGCAGCTGTGCAGATTTTATTTATGGCTTTCGTGAGGTATAAATACTCTCATGTTTGTGTACTATCATCTTATTATGGACTTACCTTTGTTTGCAAACAATATGATAGACTCCTAACACTCACATTGCATATATATTTCTTTCTAGAGCAAAGCTAAAGGTAAGGGAGCTGATGAATACTGGCTTATTTGGCGTTATGAAGGTGAGGATACACTATTCGATCTCATGCAAAGCAAGGAGTTCCCTTACAATGTAAGTGTTGCCATACAAACTGAAAAATAGTTTCAGGTCGGTCAAGTTTGTTACATTCTTGCTTCCATTGGCTCCAGTTGAACAGTTCTTTTTTTCAGTTAATGAAATAATCAGATGAGTTTGTATTACTAGTGACATTATTCTCATTGCAATCTTTTCTTGCTGTCATTTATCTAGATTGATTTTGGAAGGGGGTAATTAAGCCTCTCATTTAAATCATGTTAAAAACTTAAATCAACAGATGCGATAAACAAATTGAATTAGTATGACCTACAGGATTAGTTCATCTTCAATCAACATTTATCATTTCAAATTTGTTTGCGGTTTATCAGGTTGAGACTAAGATTCTAGGAGATGTTCAAGACCTGCCAAAGGGAATAGCAAGAGAGAATAAGATTATTCAAACAGTAATGAGACAACTGTTATTTGCTCTTGATGGCCTTCATTCGACAGGGATTGTTCACAGAGACGTAAAACCCCAAAATGTGATATTTTCGGAAGGTAATAATCGGAACATATTTTGTTTGTAGTATCATGAAAATACCTTTTGAGCTAATATTTTCAGTTTTGTCTACTGATAGGATCTCGTACGTTCAAAATTATTGATCTTGGAGCAGCAGCTGATTTGCGAGTGGGCATCAACTATATTCCTAGTGAGTTCCTTTTAGATCCAAGGTACTCAAAACTACCTCATGATCCATAACTGCACTGCTCGCAAAGAAGAAGTTATGTTTTAAAGTTAATTAATGCTATAATGTGCTAAAATATAGTTTGATTAGGGATTTGATTGAAGCTTTATCAATGCTTTGCAGGTATGCTGCACCGGAGCAATATATAATGAGCACTCAAACACCATCTGCTCCCTCTGCTCCAGTTGCAACTGCTTTATCTCCAGTCCTTTGGCAGGTACTCTTTAAATCCTTTTATTTGTGTCAGTTCTTTATTATAGTTATTCAATCAGTTTGTTGCATGATCTAATGCATCGATTTTCTTTTCATTGGCAGTTGAACCTTCCTGACAGATTTGACATATATAGCCTGGGCCTTATATTCTTACAAATGGTATGTTATTACAGGAGTATTAGATTAATAGTGTTTCAATGCATTCCGAAAAACTGATCTCTAGATTGATGTGCTTTTGTCATACTGGAATTTCTCCAACCATCCTCCCAATTTAAGCAGCAGTTTTTTTTTTTTAACCTGGAGCAGCAGGGGAGCTTCTTACCCATAATTTGAAATGTCACAATACTAATCCCCCTTTACCACTGTTTCTACAAAATCTTTTACTCTGCTCATGTTGAGCTTGTAGCGACTGCTATGTTACTTCCTAGCAAGATGAGTCAGCATTTATAGTTAGCGCATTACATACATAGTTGCCAACATTTGAGTGGAGTCTGTGTTGATCTCTGTTCTTCATAACTTGAGATAATGTACAAGTGTGTTTCCATCCTTTTCTTCCTTTGGACTTCTTCATACAAGTTTAATTTATCCAGCTGTTAGCCACACCTCCTCACTTCAGTGCATGGGGGCACTGTGAATACATGTCCAGGACACCAAATGTAATATGTTTGAACTGTCATTTTGAGTTCTTGACAGTAATGTTGTGCTGCATGGCATTCCAACCAAAAAGTTCTTTGACAAGATATTGGAATAAGAGTAACTAACTTTTGATGTTTCTGAACATATTGATCTGTATAGATGTTCATTAAAATGCTGTTATTGATCTTCTCTAACACATCAGTCTTTCTTAGGCATTTCCATCATTGAGAACGGACAGCAGCCTCATACAATTTAACCGCCAACTGAAGAGGTGCAACTATGACTTAGAAGCTTGGAGGAATTTGGTAGAGCCACGAGCTACCCCGGAGCTCCGGAGGGGCTTTGACATCTTGGATTTAGATGGTGGTATTGGATGGGAACTTCTCACATCGATGGTCCGGTACAAAGCACGGCAAAGGACTGGTGCTAAGGCTGCACTGGCGCATCCATATTTCAACCGCGAGGGGCTCCTTGGCCTCTCTGTAATGCAAAACTTGAGGCTGCAACTGCTTCGTGCAACCCAGAAGGACTACAGTGAAGCAGCCCGTTGGGTCGTCGGCCTCATGGCAAGATCAGGAACAGAAGCAGAAGGAGGTTTTACAGAGGCACAACTTCAAGAGCTTAGGGTACGCATGACAGCATAGCTGAAAGCCTGAAACTCTCTAGCTCAAATTTATCATTTCGTTTTCATAATGACTATTTGTTTCGAGGGGTAATTCATTTCCTTTTCTGCTCGACAGGAAATCAAACCAAAGAAAGGTAGTGCACGGAGGAACTTGCTTGCTTCCGTGCTGCGTGTACAGAGAAAGGTCGTGAGGACAATCAACGAAAGCATGGATGAGCTTAGCAGCCAGAGCAAAAGCATTTGGTGGAGCCGGTGGATACCAAAGGAGGAGTAGGCAGACGCAGCTCTGTCCCTCTGTGCATCGCCCATTTCTTCTGTAGAAACCTCGCCATGTAGCAATGGTAATGGTACAGCCTACTTACTTCCCTACCTCTGGTGAGTACAAATCGTCGTTCCATCGGAAAAAGACCACAATAGCATATACCGATGTCCAAATAGGTGTACATATATTTGACATGGAACCAAAATTTTCAGAGACCCTTATGATAAGTTCATAACAGATCCACTGTACTTGATTAACCTGTGATTGATTGTTGCTCGGGGAGTGTGTTCATCATGTGGTAGTACAAGAAACCCATGGCACAGGTGGTCGTAATGATTAATGAATCCTCATAATAAGTGGAACTGACCCTCGTGAAGGCTGATGGAGTGATGAGTGAAGTTTGTGGTTGTGGCCCAGTTATGCCATGTTGCCCTTCTCTTCTATTGCATTTATCCGAGTGTCCTCCATATGTTCCAGTTGGAGTGTTGGGACCAGTTTCTTGCTATTCTGCTCACTGTGCCAAGTGACTTCAACAGCTATATTGGTGCCTCTTTCATATGATTAGATTCTGCAGCATTTTGAATGATTTTTTGACTAACTTTTATCTGCCACTGAACTACTTGATTCTTCATATGGAGGTCCAGATGGTCCATGAATGGAGGAAACACCCAAGTCGAAATCGTACATAAATATTACGCACACATGAGTCGATTTTTAATGGGTTTTTTTTTTTGGATAAGGAAATTTAGTGAGGCTAAGGATTTGTCGCTTGTCTCTCTTTGAGCATGTGTTAGAAAGACGCTCTCACACATGTAAACGTGGTGTGCATGTGCATCTTTCGTGTAACAGTAACAAGAGAAGTTCCTAAGGCTGTGTTCGTTCTTTCCTTTTGGATTAATTAATTAATTGTTTATAAACTTAAAAAATAGATTTGTTTGATTTTTTCACAATAATTTCTACATAGAAACTTTTTACAACAAATGTATCATTTAACAGTTTGAAAAACATGTTAAGAGTTGTAGAAAAGAACTAGGCCAAACTATGTTCGGCAATGCAGGATGGTAACTAATCACTCCTGCACGTAAAACGGAGCGATCTATTAACACGTGATTAATTAAGTATTAGTTTTTTTTAAAAGGATCAATATGATATTTTTAAAGTAATTTTGTACAGAAAATTTTTGCAAAACATACTTATTTAGTAGTTTAAAAAACGTGCGTGCGAAAAACAAAATAGATGAGTTGGGAATCTGAAGTTCCGAACTCAGCCAAATGTATAATGGTGCAGAGGTTTGGAATGCATAGATGATCTGTCAGGTTCAAAACCCACCGCTTCAGCGTGGAAAAGCGACGACACAGTTCACGGCCAGGAGGGCACAGCCGGCCAGGACGACATGTCGACATGGCCATCCATGCTTTTTGCCAGACTGGTCTTCTTGTGAACGTCACTAGCGACGAAACGGTTTTATTATGCAAAAGTCAGGTCTGATACAAGGCGCAAAGAAGTCGATTTTCAGTTTCTACTGAGGTGTAGATTAGATCAAAAGCGTTTGTTACCGTGTACGTGCATCCAAATACAGTTTAGATATAGCAGTTACTGTGGCACAATACACAAGTGCCAACTACCAACTTAACATGATGAGTATTGTTCTCAAAAAACATGATGAGTAGTTAGTTCCACAATCAACAAAAACAGATAGATAAGCTCAAAAAAAAAACAAAAACAGATAGATGCATGGTTAGTTACAAAGAGCATAATTTAGTACCGACCAATGATTAGATTGAACAGAAAACAATAATGGGTTTGGCTCACAGCCGAACTGCCGTCGTTTTTCTTTGTTTTGCATGGTGCAATAAATCATACCGGAGAGATTAGTTCCAAACTGAAAATTCAACAACCAAATGTTCTATGCTTGCTTTAAGACTATCTCAAAGAAATAATTTTCAAAGTCACCGAATTTTTCCTCCAAAAAAGAAAAAAAAAACAGTTTGCGACGCTTCAGAACAACGTAAAACTCGATAAAATGGAGGGGTTTAATGAAAAAAATGGAGCATCTCCCAGGTGCCAAGTCTCCTCTCGAACCTTCCACTCGGCGCAAGCCACCCACACGAGGAAAAAGTCGAAAGCGAAAATATATTCACAGAAAGCCACCCCACCTTGTATTTAATTACACACCCTCTTCGACTCCTTCCTCCTCCTCACTCCCCGGCGTCGGCGAATTTTGACACGCAAACACAAAAAACCCCTCGACCAAAAACCGAATCGAACGCCGCGTGCGTGAGAGAGAGAGAGAGAGAGAGAGAGAGAGAGAGAAACCACCCCAAAATTAGCGAGGCGAGGAGGAGGAGGCGGAGGAGGGGAGCCGCAGGAATGGCGGCGATGCAGAGCTGGCGCAAGGCGTACGGCGCGCTCAAGGACTCCACCACCGTCAGCCTCGCCAACCTCAACTCCGACTTCAAGGTCCGGATCCGGAACTCCCGGGGGATGGATTTTTTTTTTCTCTCCCCTTCTGGCCGAGTTTGGCCGATTCGTGGGAACCCTAGATTTTTTTTGATGTGGTGTGGAGGCTTTTAGATCTGTGTGGTTCTGATTGGAAATTCGTTTGGGCGTGTGCTTTTTGTAGGATCTGGATGTGGCGATCGTGAAGGCGACTAACCACGTGGAGTGCCCTCCCAAGGAGCGCCACCTGCGCAGTGCGTTGATTCGTTCTCACACCGTATATTTCCGTGTATTAGGTTTTTGATTAATTAGGCATTACTGGGGTTTTATAATTAGATCGTGCCTGAAAGTGGGGAGGCTCCTGAGAGGGGAGGCTATTAGGGTTCTATTTTTCGGTTGGCCTCGGGTGGTGTTTTCCGTGTTTGATGGCGTGTATGCTGTTGTTGCAGAGATTGTTGCCGCGACGTCCATCGCTCGGCCTCGGGCAGACGTCGCCTATTGTATCCACGCGCTTTCCCGCCGGCTTGCAAAAACACGCAATTGGATTGTAAGTGCAACACTATCTTCCATGTTTATCATCTCTTTTGATGTTGTTTTGGGATGATGGGTTAATTGTATGCATTGTGGATGTTCGAATGGTACCATACTGTCCTGTATAACGAGACTACAAAAGTGATGCTTGTGTCTGACTGTTGAGTTGATAGTATATGCCTATATGTTTCAAGATTATGTGTTGTTTCCATGAACAGTTGTATGGATGACCTATTGTGTTGATTCAGATAATATATCTATCGTGCTCCTGGATGCTGCTATGCTGCTAATAGTCTGGCTGATGCTATGTAGACGTTTCTTATAATATTAATGACTGCTCTTCGTATGGATGGCTTAAAAAATCTATAACTTGAAACATTATCTAGGCTGATTCCATGATTCAAGTAATTTCTACAAGTCGGTTAGTATTACTGTCCTATAGCTTCCAGTAACATAGACCGATCGTCATAATTTCTCACAAGAAGTTCAGTGGAGTCAAGTTCTGACTGGGCCCTGTTGTGCGTTGATACCAATGGATTTTCTGCTGATATGTTCATCTTCAGGAGCTTTCTAGGCATGTTGACAGTAATTCCGTTCTAGGTCTTTCCTGGGTGTCATACTGCTTAGGATTTTGGTCTGGACATTTAAAAATAGACACTATATGCTAATTTATAGTTGTACAGTACCAGCTACATATTTTAGTCTTGCTAATTTATGTAGTTTTTTGAAATGAAACTGAGGATTGCCCCCTCTTCTAAATAAATAATAATGACAAAATAAATATATAATCCTACATGTTTACTGAGCAGGCTATGAATTTGCATTGTTCCAATCCTTAAGATCACTTGCTTGCCGCGTTTCGGAATCTAGCTATTGATTTTCAAAGTTACATCTTTTGCATGAAGATATTAGCTATTAATGTTAATGCAATAAAAGAAAGGAAAATCATACTCATTGCTAGAGTCAAAAGTGCTATGCTAAAATTTCAGTGTTAATTGAGCATCAGTAATTCTTTGTTGCCAAGTCCACTATTCAATTCATTAATTCCTTGTTCTCACAGCCATATGTCACTATTGTGCGTCCGGTCTAATTAGCAAATTTAAATCTTATGCTTGCAAAAGAGAAAGCCCTAGAATGTAAGGAAAAGAAAATCATACACAGGAGCTGATTAGTTGATTTTTCTTTGTTTTTTGTAACATGCAGGTAGCCTTGAAAACACTTGTAGTGATCCATAGACTTCTTCGAGAGGGTGACCCTACTTTTCGAGAAGAGCTTCTTAATTTTGCACAGAGGGGGCGTATTTTGCAGCTCTCAAACTTCAAGGATGACTCCAGTCCAATTGGTTAGTATTTTATCTAGGTGACTGGAAGTTGCTGCTGACATGCTTGTTTCCTCTTTATTTCCCTGTGTAATATTGAGTACTGTCCAGCTTGGGACTGTTCTGCATGGGTTCGTACATATGGTCTGTTTCTGGAGGAAAGATTGGAATGCTTCAGGGTCCTCAAGTATGACGTTGAAGCTGAACGTTTGTCCAAACAAGGTCAAGGTCCTGAAAAGGTCTGAAACACTACAATCCCAACCTTGGTATAACTGATCAGTTTTGAGGATCAGATGTATTACACTTCTCTACCAATACAAGATTGTCCATGCTTCACCTAATTATGTTTTATCATCAGGGGCACAGCAGAACCAGAGAATTGGAGTCCCAGGATCTGTTAGAGCAGTTGCCAGCTTTGCAGCAGTTACTATATCGACTTGTTGGATGTCGGGTGATTATCTCCATACTCCATGCCAATACATATTAGATATGACACACACTCATTTTCAATCATTTTCTGCTCTATGTATACATATCATTGTTTGCTTTTGTCATTGCAGCCGGAAGGAGCTGCAAATAATAACTACTTGGTGCAATATGCTCTAGCTTTGGTAAGTTATATATATTTTTAGTTGTACTCCGTATAATTTGTTTTCACTCTATTCTCTATTATATGTTTCTTCTAAGCTTAAAATAAAGATTTGATTTCACCTGAAGGTTGTTCTTTTTGTAAATTCAGTTCTCAGTATCAGCTTGTTAACAATCTAAAATGGCATTGGTGAAAATGGTGCAATTTTTTAGATACCATTGCATCACAATAATTGCCTTTATCCATCCACCCTTTGCTAATGAAAATACACCCTGTTGAAGGCTTGAAGCATATGGATAGAAGGATAGGTGTCTGTATCATTCATTGACGTTAGTAGTTAGCTGCCTTATGTGGAAATTTTCGATTATAAACTTGCTTTAATTTCCTGAAATTATCTTTGAACCAACAAATTGTTTGTGTTCACTTTTGTATATTTTTGTTCCATCCAAATAATCAAACAAGAATATATCATGTACTCT